ATTTTAGATTGAGGGTTTAGGTGACGCAACGCAGGTTGGTCAGTTGGTGTATTTATTAGTAAATAAATGTGAGAAATGTCCACGCGCCTTTGAATGAAAACCAAAATTGAGAAAAGTGTCACGCGCACCGAAATCTAGTCCTTAGGTGATAGCAATTGCCAGAAAGTGTCAATCACCACTCAAAAAGGTCTCTTTACAAACCAAAACTTACTGCTGGAATTTTTCACGCTTGAAAGGGAAAAAGGCTACAAATGAGGACAAAAAGTAATTGAAGTTGGCAGTGGCATTACCGTAATATAGGTCAATTGCCAGCCTCATAACTTAACCACCAACCTTTATAACCCCGACAACGGTACCCACCATTCTGTTATTCCCTCACCCCCTCACTGGCCTTTTTTTGGCCTCTTCAATTTCTGCCCCCACACACATAACCACTAATATATATACTTTGATACATTTATATCCCTTCAACAATGGCGTTATTCATCTGGTTCTGCGCAGCCGCCTTTTTCCTTCAGTCCCGTGTCCTTCCGGCGGCGGCCGATAAACTCTACATCGTACACATGGATACCAACCTCATGCCCGACGCCTACAACACCCAAAGCGATTGGTACGCCGACCACTTACAAACCCTTACCGCCGCTGAATCAGGAAAGATCATGTACACCTACGAGGCCGCGTACCCAGGCTATGCCGCCGCCCTCTCGCCGGAGGAGGCCGATGCCCTGCGCCAGTCGGACGCTGTCCTCGGGGTGTACGAGGACACGGTGTACAACCTCCACACCACGCGCACGCCAGAGTTTCTGGGGCTGAACGGGGAGCAGGCCGGCCACACCCTGCAACAGCTGAATCAGGCCTCGTACGATGTGATCATCGGAGTCCTGGACACCGGCGTCTGGCCGGAGTCGAAGTCGTTCAGCGACACCGGCATGCCGGATGTGCCGGCCCGGTGGCGCGGGATGTGCCAGGTCGCCTCCGACTTCGAATCGAAAAACTGCAACAAGAAGCTAATTGGCGCTAAATCCTTCAGCGAGGGATATAGAGGGGCGGTGGGTAAAACTAACGAGTCAATGTCCGCCCGCGACTATAACGGTCACGGCACGCACACGGCAAGCACCGCCGCTGGCACCGTGGTTTCCCACGCCAGCTTCTTTGGTTATGCTAGCGGCAACGCTCGTGGAATGGCTACCCAAGCCAGGATCGCGGCCTACAAAGTCTGCTGGAATGAGGGTTGTATGGGATCAGACATACTCGCCGGCATTGACAGTGCGATTCAAGACGGAGTTGACGTCCTCTCCATGTCCCTCGGTGGTCCACTTGTGCCGTACTACCAGGATACCACTGCCATCGGAACTTTTGCGGCCATGGAAAAAGGGATCTTCGTCTCGTGCTCGGCTGGAAACGCTGGGCCCACTCCGGGGTCGCTCTCGAACGTTGTGCCGTGGATTATGACTGTCGGCGCCAGCACAATCGATAGGAGTTTCCCAGCTTACATCGCTCTAGGCAACAACAAGAACTTCACCGGCGTGTCATTGTACAGTGGGGAAGGCATGGGGAAAGATTTGGTAGAGTTAGTCTACAACACAAGCAGCAACGGGCCGAGCAATCTGTGCCAGCCGGGGTCCCTTAACGCCACCCAAGTGAAGGGCAAGGTGGTGGTTTGTGACAGAGGGGGCAAACATCTTGGACGGGCGCAGAAAGGGGCGGTGGTGAAAGCAGCCGGAGGCGTGGGGATGATACTGGCCAACACAGAAGAAAGCGGTGGGGAGGAGCTTCTAGCCGACAGCCACGTTCTTCCGGCCGTGGCAGTGGGGCAGGTGTCAGGGGATGCGATAAAAAAGTACGTGAAGACGGACAAGAAGCCAATGGCGGTGCTGAGCTTATTCGGGGAAACGGTGGTGAAGGTGAAGCCGGCGCCAATGGTGGCGGCATTCAGCTCGAGGGGCCCGAACGTGGTGACACCAGAGATCCTAAAGCCGGACGTGATAGGGCCCGGTGTTGACATCCTGGCGGCGTGGTCGGGGGCTACGAGTCCCACGGAGCTGCCAGAGGACACCAGGAGAAGCTTGTTCAACATCATATCAGGTCACTATCCATTATATTTGATATGTGTATATATTTGTGCTGATCAAACTATAACAAATCGACCTACACCATAAGAATCTTTGTCAATGAGTGCAAAAACTAATGTTATAGAAAGACAAAAAAATGTCACATTTTTCAAAACAATGACTCGTGCGAGCAGGTACGTCCATGTCGTGCCCGCACATAAGTGGGCTGGCAGCCCTTGTGAAGGCGGCCCACCCTGACTGGAGCCCGAGCGCGATCAAGTCGGCCCTCATGACCACAGCCTATACACTCGACAACAACAACTCCCCCATCAGTGATGCCAACGACAAGTCCTACGCGACCCCACACGCCATGGGCGCGGGCCACGTGGACCCGATCAAAGCCCTCTCCCCGGGCCTCGTGTACAACACCACCCCGAACGACTACCTCGCCTTCCTATGCTCCCTCGGCTACAACCGGATGCAGATCCAGGCCATCACCAGGAACAACAATGAAACGTGCACCGAGCTCAAGTCCAAGTTCAACAATCCGGCCGAGCTCAACTACCCCTCTTTCTCCGTGCTGTTCAACAACCCGAACGTGAGTCTGACTAGGAAGTTGACCAGCGTGGAGCCCGGTTTGTCGGTTTACAATGTCTCGGTCAAGGCGCCCCCGAATGTGAAAGTGACAGTGAACCCAACGAGTCTTGTTTTCAAGGGCGTTGGGGACAGTTTGAGTTATACGGTTACGTTCCTATCGGAAAGTGTTTCGGATGAGGATGCCTTTGGCTCGATTTCGTGGAACAATGAGAAGCACATGGTGACGAGCCCGGTTGCATACTCATGGGCCGGGCATTGAGATCTTCCATGCACCAAAGGTTATTTACAGCAAGGGAAACCAAACCAAACCAAACCAAACCAAACCTAACCTAATGGCTTATATGTGGGCATCTTGCGGGAAGAGTTCTGTGTGGTATGGTAGACCTGAAGAATAAAGTTTTTTTTTTGTTTTTTTTT